TATTATGTATCTCTTTAGTACAAGTTGTACAGTATAAAAATGTACTTTTATTGCCTTCAATATCAAAACCCTATTTTTCTTACACGTGGTCTCTTTCTGATACCTAAATATATATTACATCACGTGACATGACGTGACTACATTACATCCCTCCTTTTCTTTAAAATAACTCATTAATGTTAATTGCTGTTTATTGAATATTACCTTATAACGTCTACGTGTCCGCTTTACCAGTAATTATTTAACTAGTTTTAACATGTCTAACTTCTATAAAAGTCCGGTGGTCTTCGATTTTGTCTAAGACAATACCTTCGTTGTAGATCTGGTTGATCTTGTTGTTGCTCTTCAACTATTGTTGGTTGCTGGTTTTCTACTATGCCGTCGTCAAAATCGTCTTCTTCATCATTCTGGTCTTCCTCACTTGCGTTCTTGTAATTTGTGAGACATTTGAAACACGATACATTCCGGGTTACGGTGCGCTCTGTGTTACGAGCTGTTACCATGTTGCCTTTGATTTCAATCACTTTAAATGGTTTTGGATTGAAAGGCATTGATAACTTATTGTCCTTCGGGACTTGCATTAGCACGTAATCACCAACTTTCAACTGACTTTCTTTCGCGTTGTTTCTTCTATCTGCATGGACTTTCATTTTCTCCTTTTCCTCCTTATCTCGAACAACGTGGTGTTCCTTGGGGCCATCATTGTGTTGTAGGGATGAGAAACTAGGAAGCTTATTTCTAATTGAGCGATTGAACAAAAGTTCAGCTGGACTAGTGTGTGTCGTAGAATGAGGTGTGGATCTGTAGTTGAGAAGAAAAAGATCTAATTCACTTTGCCATCTTTTTCCTTCTGAATGAGCAGTACGGATTGCTTTTGTTACTGTTTTCATGAATCGCTCTGCCTCACCGTTGGCTTGAGGCCAATAAGGTGTGATTCGGCGGTGATGGACTCCATGTGCAGCTAGATATTCGGTGAACTCAACCGCATTGAACGGGGGTCCGTTATCGGTTATCAATTCTTCGGGATATCCATGTCGGGCAAAGATTCTTTGGAGTTTGGAGATCACAACCGTGGTTGTCGTGCTTTGCATCACTTCAACTTCTGGATATCTGGAATAGGCGTCAATCACGACCAACAATTTCTCGCCATTTGGGAATGGACCACAGAAATCTGCATTAAGTGTGTGCCAAGGATGTGGAGGTAACTTTGTCATATTCAGGGGTGGTTGACATTTTGGTGACTGGTGTACTGCTGCTTGGCAGGGTATACATTCTTTAACCATTTGCTCCACTTGCTTGTCAATACCAGGCCACCATACTTTACTGCGTACAAGCATTTTAGTTTTAACTATCCCTTGATGTCCTTCATGAGCGATAGAAAGGACACGATTACGGAGACTCTTTGGGATAACGATTTGTGAATTTCGTAGTATAACTCCACATTCCGAAACTGTCAACTGTTCGTGCTGATTACGATATGGGCTTAAACAACTCTCTGTTTTGTTCCATCGATCTTCCTTTACTGCGCTAGTTACTCTCTGCAGTTCAGGATCATTTAACGTTGCGATACGAATCTCATCGAGCGTGAGAGATTTAGGAACCGAGTGACTTTGGATGAAATTGACATATTTCTCCGCTATGGTACTTGATCGACTTGTAGTTGGTGAATAAAGGTTGTCGAGACAACACGTCAGCTGGGTTGCTGCTACCTGGTCGATACTTGATATTAAACTTGTATTGTTGCAATCGTAGTAACCAACGTTCTATCCGGAGTGGCGGTTTGGACTTTGGGCTGTAAATGACTTCCAATGGTTTGTGGTCAGTGATGAGGTCAAATTGTGTTCCAACAAGGTAAAGATGAAAACGTTCACAACCCCACACTGCAGCCAATGCCTCTTTTTCGGTCTGCGAGTAGCGAGCTTCCACAGGCGTTAGGGAACGACTAGCATACGCTATGCAGCGATCTTGCCCATTTTCTTGTGTTTGGGCTAATACTGCACCAAGTCCGACAGGACTTGCATCCACTGTCAATTTCGTAGGTCGATTTGGATCACAAAATGCCATCGTACAGTCCGAAGCAATAGCATTTTTAACTTTGGTGAAAGCTTTCTCATGCATAGTTGACCAAGACCATTTACACGATTTGGTTGTTAATTCACGTAGAGGGGCTGTTAGAGTGGAGAAGTCCTTAATAAATCGTGAACAGTAATTGGCCAGACCTAAGAAACTACGTAGTTGGCTGACATCTGCTGGTGTTTTGAAATTTTTAATTGCCTCGACTTTCTTTGGATCTGCTGACAGTCCGTCCTTTGACAGAATGTAGCCATAGAACCAAAGTGACGGTTGATTAAACTTGCATTTCTCCAGGTTTAATGTAAGTTTCTTGACAACTAATCGCTGTAACAGTGCTTCTAAATTCTTGTCATGCTGGGCTTGGGTTTTACCCATACAATAATATCGTCTGCGATATTTCGTACCCCGTGTAGACCTTGGAGCGCTTGCTGTATTGCATTTTGGAATACTTCTGAAGCACATGACAGACCAAATGGCAGGCGTTTATACCGAAACAACCCCTTGTGTGTGCAAAAAGTGGTAATGTTACGCGAGTTCTCTTCTAGGACTATCTGATGGTATCCTGCTTTGAGGTCTAGCTTAGAAAACACGACAGCACCAGACATTTCTTCCATTAACTCATCAACTGTTGGGATTGGATGTCTCTCCCTTAGCAATGCCTGATTTGATCTACGGTAATCTCCGCATAATCTGATTTCATCTGAATTGTGTGGTTTGGGAGCAGCTACTATGGGTGATACCCATGAAGTAGGTCCTTCGGCAGGTTCAATAATATCGAGACTTTGTAATTCTTCTAGTTTATCTGAAACTTGCTTTCGTAAATGGAAACGATCTGACTCTCCGAGGGCGTTGTGCAATAGGGGTAACTGTACGATCAACATGCAATGATTGTTCATAATTTTGCAAACACCCTATTCCGTCAGAGAGTTCTGGAAATTTATCTAAAATTTTCTGTGAATTAATGTCAATGTTTTTCAGCTATTTCTGTCCCTTATTTCTCGATTTCCGGAGTCACTTTGACTGTTCGCGTCACTTCCGTTTGAGTGGCTTCCGGTGTTGATTTCATTCCTACCTCGACTTCCGGTTGTTTTCGTGCTATGAAATTTAGAGACTTCGTTAACTTTTATTTTTAAAATGCCTAACTCTGCGGCTGTTTCATTACCGAGAAGTGATCCCGCTTTGCCGTTGACAACATAAAACGTCGATATTGTACGCTTTCCATTCGATTCAACCGCTAAACGACACTTTCCGAGCAATGGCAAGGGCTGAACGGCATTATATGCATATATATTTGTTTGTGTTGGCTCTAATTGTACATGTTTATTTCTTTTCCTAATACAAGCGAATGCTTCACTATCAAGAATATTTGTCGTCGCTCCTGAATCGATAGTCACAGCAATAGGGGTCCCATTGATCTGTATTTGAATGTTAGTTATTTTTGATGATGAAACAGCAAAAGTATACTCATCGTCGGACGAATTAGGAGGGCTTTGTTTTTGGGTTTGTTGTTGTGCAACTCTAACAGACTCTCTCGAATCTTTCTTACTATCTTTTGGGGGATTTTTTTGACTTCGACAAACTCTAGCGAAATGATTGAGCTTTTCACAAGCTCTACAGGTTTTGCCCTTCGCAGGACAGACATCTTTATGTCCTTGTTTAAATTCATTTCCACAATTTCGGCATTGATTTTGTTTGTGTGGTTTTAGTACATATTTAGCATGTCTTACCTTGTCTTTAGCTTCGTCATTTCCCTCGTCTTTTACACGATTAACATTGTTCCGAGAGTTATTGTGTCCCGAGATATTCGACGCTTGTTTTTCTGCTAATTCCTTCGCTCGCGCCATGGTAATAAGCTTAGCCAATGTCAGATCTGTCTCGCGTAAAAGCTTCGTACGAAATCCATGAGACGAGCATGTCATAACAAACTGATCGCGTATTTCATTCTCGGCGCTTTCGAATTCACACGTTTCGGCTAGTGTACGTAGACGAGTTATGTAGCTGTCTACCGATTCTCCAGGCGTTGGATGTGTCTGTTTAAACACATAGCGTTCATATATTACGTTCTTTTGTGGCTGAAAATATTCGTCGAGCTTCTCTAGAGCTGTTTTGAAATCTGTCCCGGTTGTCTTGTAGTGTTTTGAATATTTTATGAACCGACGGGCCAGCTACATACAATAACACTGCGCGTTTCTGTGCATCATCCTTGATGTTGGCAGCTACTGTATACATATTAAACCGCTTTCGCCATTCTTTCCAGCGTTGGGCTAGCGAGGAATTATCACCCTCTGCATCAAACGGAGGTGGTGGTTTTAAATCCAAAGTTGTGGCCATCGAGATTTCTTCTGTGTTCACTTCTTCTTCGTTTGGGTTCAGCATTAAAATAAACTCGTCGCCCAATATAATGTATCTCTTTAGTACAAGTTGTACAGTATAAAAATGTACTTTT